CCCCCCCCCCCCCCCCCCCCCCCCTGTGTTGTCTATCTAGACACCTTTTGACGGTTGTGCTTGCGCGTTGCCAGTGTTGCTTGGGTCCTTGAAACGCCGGGCTCACGCTCTCTCCCAACCAAGCCCTTCAATCTTCGCCTTTGTATGCATAGACACCCTCAAGTTGACTTAAAAACCGCTGCTCCCGCAATACCTACACCACCCGTAGCGTGGGCTATCAAGATTCGCTGCGTGCGAAACCCGAGCATTTGTCTTGTCTCTCACGCGAGGTAGATCACCGTTTATCGACCCTTGCTGTCGCCACCATCCGTACCAACAGCCGTCAACGGGCAGCCCAGTGGTACGTACGAACACACGATGGCGGTCATCGGCGGCTCGCCGAGGCCCATCTCGATCACGTTCGTGATGCCCAGCACGGGAGGAGGCAGCGGCAACGGCGGCCGTTTTTCCGGGGTCGGCGGAGGTCCACCGGTTGTGCAGCACACCTGGGTAAGACGAGAGAGAGGGGCGGAGAGAGAGAGGCAGACAGACAGACAGACAGACAGAGACAGAACACGAGAAAGAGAAAGTGTGTGTTCCTTCGTGCTCACCCCCGCCCCCCCCGCCCCCCCCCGCTGCTCGCCCTTCATAGCCCATGGTGTTTTTGTTTTTGTGTTTTATTATTTTCCTCTCGATCGGAACGTGCGTTTTTTTGGTCGATTTTGCCGGTGCTTCCGTTCGTTTCATCACGCTGCCGTCTCCGCCCCTACCGCCACCTGCAATGTTGCACATCGTCCTGATTCTTCGCGCTTGGTCCTCCGGTCTGTCGTGGCACCCTGGCAGGCGGACGTTGGGCTAGCGGCAACGATAGGGGCCATGGACGCCGCAAACGCTGTCGCGGTGGAGTGGGGACTGGGAGCTAACACCCCCGGGGTCTTAGCCGGGGTGAGGGCGAGAGAGAGATGGAAAGTGTCGTAACAGGCGGCCTTGTTGTATTTGTTGCCTGGCGATCTCGACGACTTTTCGTCATCGCGTGGCTTAGTGTTATTTTTTATTTTTTTTTCGTTGCCTCGCGTCCTCGATGATTTTCTGTGATGGCGTGGTTCGTACTTAGAAAGCCTGTCCCCTTGTGACGCATTCTTGGCATGCACGCGAGTTCCGCGTTCGGGCTGGTAAACTTGAAATATCCGCGTATTCCGCCAACCGTCGCACACACACACACACACACACACATGCACACGTACACGCACACACACCTCTGTTGCTACCCTTTCTGCCTTTATTCCGGAGAGTAGCCTAGCCTCCCCCATGACACCCCCTCGCGGATTCCCATCATGTCCTTTAGATAGAAGCACTCTCATTGGTCAGACGGTTAGCGCGGTCGATGCAAATATTTTTTAAAGAAACTCATATACACACGCATGCACGCCCTCGCACTTGGCGCACCGACCACGACGATGGCGACGACGCAGGCGCACTCGTCGGGCGCGGGCGACATCCCGCCCGCCCCCCAGGGCTTCCGCGTGCACCAGAAGCACAGCCTGATGGCCATCCCAACGGGCGTCGCCGGAGGCTTCGGCAACAGCCTCGCCAAGCACCGGACCTTCGCCGTCGACGTCTCTCCGGACATGTGAGTGACAAACAGAGAGCATCAGCAGCAGCAGCAGCAGCAGCAGCAGCAGCAGCAGCAGCAGCAGGTTGCAGTATTACCGTAGATAAGAGGCGGAGAGATGGCACCCCCCCCGTAGACCGACTTTCAAAGCTCGATTGCTCCCCAACAAAGATTGTCTGTACCGTACCGTATACCGCACCGTGGTATTCCGGAAGGGGCGGAGAGATGGCACCCCCCCTAGACCGGCCTTCAAAGCTCGATTTCTCCACTGCCAAGTGGGTACACGGAAAGAGCTCCAAACGTCTCTCTCGACGACGTTTCCAAAACTGCCATTTTTGGTGATGGCATCAGCTTGGTCGTGGAGCAATCGAACTTTTTAGAATCGGTCCGAGGGGCGGGGGGCGGGGCGGGGGGGGCATCTCTCTGCCTCATACGGTAATCTGCGTCCCATCCTCGGTGGGTGCGGTGCGTGCTGCCCGGTGCGCGGTATTGGCGGGTCGGGGGTCCGGAGGTGTGGGCTCTCACGGTAGGGTTGGCTGTCGCTTGGGGGACGATTTCGCGTAAATACTGTACTTCAACGATAGCTGTCGTTTGTGGTACAGCAGTTGGTACGTCCATTATCTATGTGCGGCGGTGTTGATCCCAGTCTTCTCAAGACAATGATGTAGGGTATCAGTGAGTAAGGTATCTGAGGGTATTGATTGCTGCGTGTACCGCTACGTCTACTATACCCCCCGCCCCCCTCCACGCACACGCTCTGGACTGACTTATTCAGGAACTAGGAAAGGAAGGCCTCAGGGCTCGTTCCCCCCTGTGGCGCCCTCAGCACCGCCTTTGAATTGAGATTCCATCGACGTGTGTTCAGCCATTCCAAACCTCAAGCAAGTAACTCTCTCTCTCTCTCTCTCTCTCTCTCTCTCTCTCTCTCTCTCTTTGTGTGTGTGTTTTCAGGGCAACGATGAGCACGAAGAAGGCCCTTTCCGACGCCCCCGGCGAGGAGGTCGGGGAGTTCGACGTGCGGTTCGGGGAGGGGGAACTGGGGATGCGACTGGAGGAGAGGGGCTCCTTCAAGGCGTCCAGCGTGGTGGTCAAGATCACGGAGGGTGGTGAGAAAGAAAGGAATAGCTTGTCATCATGCGCACGGAAGAACGGAGATCGCTTCTCAATTGGGACGGCGTGGATGCCGTAGGGAAAATTCCCACGCAACTGCTGTACAAGTAGTTTGAATGCGAAGGGAATGGGACAATATGCCTTGGTTCGAATGCAAAGGGGAAAACATGCTGCTGTTTGAATGCGAAGGGAATATATACAGTGCTTTGTGGTTGTCTTGACTGCTGTATAAATGTCGACTGACGCGATGGGGGTGACTCTCCACTCCCCCCCCCCCACCTGACCTGCCTGTGTCCGTTTCGTCATACTTGTTCATGTTTGAGCAGGCCAAGCGGTGTCGTTGGGGGTCCGAGAGGGGTGCAAGGTTGTCGGCATCAACGGGGAGAAGTACCTGTCGCACGCTCACACCGTGGCGACGCTGAAGCACGCCAGACGCCCCGTGGTCGTTCGCTTCCGTTTGCCGGACGCATCGGGGAGACGCTGACGATAGTTCTGCTGTATTTTGCCAGATACGGTATGCACAGCGCTTAGGAAGACGTTTTCCTTCGCGCGGCCTTTCTCTTGCCGAAGGGCGGGTGGCTACAATTGCCGCGGCGCTCTGTGTTGATGCCCGCGGTGTTTTCGGGCGAGCCTCGGGGGTGTTGGTTCGGTGCGTGTTTTTGTGGATGGCGAGGGAAAAGCGGTGTGTTGGACTTGCTCGGGCATTACTTCGATTCTTGATCCTGTCTGGACAGCTAGCTCCAAAAAAATGTCGTCGGTAGATAGCTTCCAGCGTGATGGGAGACGGTGGTCTAATGTTGAGGGGTGACATTTTGAAAACGAGTCCGAGGGGGGGGGGGAGGGCAAGTTTACAGTGAGTTCTCGTGTTGGCGTCTCCTTGGTGTAGTTTGATCTCTTCAAAACGGGTCTCCAGTAGAAACAAGAGTGTACCCGGTCTCAAGGAAGACGATCCATGTGTGCCCGTCGCCCCCTTGTACATCGTGCGCGCCAAAATTTTGTTAATTTTTATCCAACGTATTTTTTGCGTTGCGGTTGTTTGTCCTTGTGTTTTCTTGATTGGGGGCCGGGGTCCTTGGAGGGGGGTGGTTTTGTGGTCCTCCCGAAAACAGCAATGTTTTGCAGGCTTAAGCCCTGCTGCTATGGGCGAACTTGCCGCACGTTCCACTGCCTGAACGCCCCTGTCCAAGAGAGACTCCACGCTGGGGACAAAGAAGACCAGGTGAAAAAGTAGAGGACAGAACCCTGATGGAAGTGTCTCTTTTTCCGCGTGCATCTGTAAGCACGGCAATACCTCGGCCGCATTGTATGTATAGGGATTCAAAAGCTGATTTTCAGTCTTTGCCTGAAGCCATTGATCGCGCTTTGGTTTGCATCCCCTGCCACAATTCGTGGCCGTCTTTCTTCTCACCCTCAGCAGAATGTTAAAAGCATGAGCTGCGCCACTCTTCGGCATACAATACATACCACGTTTAAAAGTCTGCCATTGTCACATAATTACACGTTCGTACAGCAGTATATTCACTCAAGAGTGACACGAGCGGCAAACAACATCATCGCAACGTGTACAACACGCATTCATCCAACCGCTACCCAACCACCGCCCGTGCAAGCAGCTTTCGGGCGTGGCCCTTGGTCTAGATCACACAACAAACAAGAAACACCCGATCGCAGAACGATAGGACCTCTCTCCCTCTCCTACCCAGCACCGTCGTGGACTGAAACCTCCCATCCCTCTAAAAAACATGATACAACGGAGCACGTGCAGCTTTTCGAGACAAATCGATGGCACCAACCGCTGGCGGTCCTACCCCCCCCGGCGTGTGGCGCCACTGGGTCATGCTCTTGAAACAACGGCCCCCGCCGCCGCCCTCCGCGCATCTGCCCCCGCACCCCCACCTTCCCCTAATCTCCTCCATCGGCCGTCCCCCCCGTTTTTACCACCGTGGGCGGACACCTCCTCTTCCTCGTCCTCCTCCTCCTCGTCCTCCTCCTCGTCCTGTGCCTGTATGATGTGGAGGTCGAGCTTGGCGTTGGACAAGAACGGCCCCCACTTGCGGTAGGTGTAGGCGTAGAAGATGAGGGTGGACAGGAGGGCGATCACGGAGATCGCGCCTGCGGCGACGCGGTGCGCGACGGAGCCATCGTCGAGGGTGATCCAGCCCACCTCCGCCAAGACGCCCATGAACAGGGGGATGCCTGGAGTAGTAGAAACAAAAAAAAGGACAATGACCGTGGGTCTTGGGGCGTGGTGCCTACCGGTACAAGTAGTGTCTAGACCGTTCGCGAAGTATTCCGAGTAAAACCAGAGCAATCACCGTTGTCATGCGCAGCAGAACACCCAGAATAGTCACCAACAGCGCTTGAGCGCTCTTTGGGGGGGTGTACCTTGCACATGGCTGTGATGTCTTCCTCGTGCAACGCTGTAGTGCAGACTGCCCCCGCTAGACCCTCGCACACCCAGCAACCTCGGAAAAGCGCACTCCCTATGCTGTACTTACAGATAGTAGCGATGAAAAAGTTAGTGGCAATTTACGACGGGCCGTGGGTGCCGTTGCTCACGTCTTGTTTGTTTTGATTCTCACCGATGTTGAAGGCCCGAAAACTGAAACGCCAGTCGCTCTCACAACTGGAACCGGCACGCCACGATGTTTCATGTCCCAGACATCAAACCAAAGGACGGAAAATGAGGGAACGTACGAATGACCGATCAGCGGGCGTATCACACTTATACATCCATAAGATGGACGTGTATGGTCACAGTCACAGCAGTTACCGGTAGATCGGAGGCAAGTCAATAATACGGCCACAGCAAACAACATGCGGGCTCCTACGTATGTAGATGGTACAGGATTGCAAAACAATCCTCCTGGAGCTTTTTCAACCAGGTCCAGAGACCAACCTGCCTTGACAAAAGTGCCACCCTCAAAACGTTGTAGCAAAAAAAGAGTTGGAGGCGAAACCAGCCGAGCAATGCTACGAAACCTTATGGTGATTTTTCCTTCCCTGCGAGTCGAAACGCCGCTTTCTCATGAAACCCGAGCCGCCGCTCCCTTCTCAACTGCTTCCCGTTAACAATCGTTCTATGAGACATCCACCCAGTGCACTGACTGTGCACGCCTCCTCATATTGCACTCCTCCTCGACGTCCGTATCGACCCTATACAGAGCGATACAAACGGTACGCATGTCAGCAACAGAAACACCTCCACTATCGCACCGGCTCGCCCAGAACCGCTGGAAGGAGGGGTAGTGGCGGTCCTTGGCCTTGACGTCGTACTTCATGATGGCCACCAGCATGAACGTAGAGCTCAACATCGCCAGCAGCATCAGCCCGACCTTCCACGACGCGTGGTAAAAAACGTTATGAACAAAAAAAATATTCGGTTGAGTTTGGTGCTTTACTGGCGGTTTCGTCTTCTACACAGAAAACAAGGTGGCCTCTAACAAGCGCATTGAGACGTGAGACACGTTCATGTACCTTTTCGAGTGCTCGCATACGACTGTTTCAAGAAGAGCTGCGTCATGGAAGCGCTACGCCTGAACCACCAGTGAGCGCGTGATCCATTCGCACGCATGGTCAAAACGAGCAACACTCACCATTACCAATGTACTTTATACCGTTCCATATGGAAAGCACACAATTAAAAAAAGTCGCCGGCCATTTCGTCAAGAATCTCACCACGGACGCCGCGGTCGACCCGAAGAATATCAAGAGCACCGCGTTCACGTCACCTGGAAAAAAAAAAAAAGTGGTGAGGGAAACAGAGAGAGAGAGCACCGACGTCGCTTACTCTGGATGGGCTTGCAAGCACATAGGGCAGACGCCCCCCCCCCTGCTCTCGCTTGGGTCTGATACCTACTGCTGTGCCTCCCTCTCAAATATGCCGAGGGGGAGAACACGATGTGTACTCCACCGTTAAATGCACACGAGAGAAGCAATCGGCCTCAGACGCGGAAACCGAATCGAATCGTCGCGTTCTGTAGGGCAAGCACCCATTTGGAAGAGACACTGACGCGACTTGGCGAAAATAAAAGTACAATGGCCCGGAGATTCAGTATTCGTGCCACCTAATCCCTGCTTCCGCATAAGGTGGGCACAAGACCCACGCGTCCTGGCATGGCTCCAGTGAGCGTACCGGCGAGAGCCGCCTAAACCACACGCTATTACGGCCAAGCTGTGTTTTCTCATGCAGTGTAGGATCCGCCGCTGAGCTGGGTTTCTTCACCCAACTGATCATTATTCCCGAAAATTTGAGCCCGTTTTCTCTCAACATGTTTTCCCTCAATAGCGGAGCGGTACTACTGCTGTAGTGTGAGGGCACAATGGGCAGGTAGCGAGCAAAGTCTTGACTACACGACGTAAAAAAAAGAGGCTGTGAAAATGAGGCACCATCACGATAAAAATTAACGTTCACGCAAGCGCGAAGGACGACGTACTCGGGATGTTAACCTCCACCATCGCGACTAGGGCGAACCCGGCGATAAGGGCGGACAGCGAGGCCACCTGCTCTAGCTGCTTCGCCTTCTCCTCTACCTCGCGCTTCCGATCGTTTACGCCTCGCCACCAAACCTGACAGATAACAAACGGCGCGGCGCAACACCAAAACCAAGCGTTGGCGATGCTGTTACTATTTTTTTCTTGTTGTTATGTTGTTGTTGTTGTTGTTGTTGTTGTTGTTGTTGTTGTTGTTGGTGGTGGTGGTGGTGGTGGTGTCGGCTACATGGTGTTGCTGTTGGTGATGGTGGGCTCGTGAGCTACACAACATGTGCGCTTCGTGTCGGGGGTGCTGTTACCTGCATGACTTCCCGGCCAGCGCGTTCTGGTTGAAAGCACTCCACGTTTCACTCCCTTTGTACCTGTTGTCTTCACTTCCTAATCCTGTCCAGATTCAGAGGAGCGAGTGCCACCCTACTCAAGCACCACTGCCGTACAAAGACCTTGGCGACAAAAACCAACGGTCTACGGAGAAGTCAACTCTGGGAAACCTTAGGATATCCGTAATCATTTCGTGTGATTTGATTTATTTTTGTAATTTTCGCTCACTTCCTCCTGACGCCACTGCAGCTCTCGTCGGCGGAACTCCATGTCCTCCTCTCGACACTTGATGTTCCACGCCATGTCGGCCATCTGCCTCCGTCCGCCCAAATCCATCGGTCGACACCCGGGAGGAAAATTTGACAATTTGCGGGAAAAACGGAACCGGTTAAATCGTCAGCGCACGTCGTCACTCAACATCACTGGTTGGTTGCAATATGACGGGCGAAGAGCCTGGCGGTATTGATGCTCCAAGTTCCGTATCTTTCTGACATTTGACATATGTAGACCCGGTCACCTATTCCAAGGATAGGATTGCCATGGGTATCTGCTAACAGGCGGAGGCCCTACGATGACTCTAGGGACTGGTCCGATCAATTCAGTCCTGGCTCTTAGCGCCAATTGCTTGGCATGTTGCCCCATCAACACATATGGCACTCGGTCAACTTTTGTTGGTCTCAAATCCGTCTCAATTTACCAACGCCAGCACGTTCCACATTAGAGATAGTGTGTACTACGGTCGGAGCGATAGCCTAGCGTTTAAGCGTATTCTCGTCCACCGCCGTCCGTTGCCGTGCCGCGAAGAACGCATGTTGACGACTGCCAAGCTTCGGGCAGTTCGTGTCGAGACAAAACACCGGCTGCTGTTTGTCATGGAACACGGGTACTATGTAAGTGTTGTCACGGTGCGAGCCCCTACAGAACTCGGCAGCGACAGTTTCGCACCACGAAGACCATGCGTCTCATAAAATGCTACACAACTCGCACAAAGTTGTGCAAAACAAGCACGGGTTGGACTGGATCCGACGACAGACAGAGAGAGATGGGATGGGAGAGGGAGACGTCTGGAGCTGAACGACGGGACGATCGGATGATCAACGTGTTGAGTTCGGGGGACCACCGACGTGCGCACACAAAACAGAAATACCAAGGCGCCCCATTCCCATGCTAGCGCTGGAAGGGGCGAGAGTAGTACGTTTGCCTGCCAGGGACCCCAGCACGGCCATGGTTGCACCCACCTGCCCCCAGTACGAAGCTCCAACATGCACGCGTTTAAGGCAGGACAGAAGATGTCATTTCCGTAGGCACTTGCTGTGCACTCACGCACTGACTCTACCGCGGCATGGTACCATGGCAGCCAAGGGGCTCTCTGCCGTTGTAGACGCATTGAAGCAGCACCCTGCGGCCTCTTTTTGCGTAGCCATGAGCTCGTACAGGACGACATCTACCAACGAGCTTTCAACGCCTCAGTTACCGCGTATCGCCTGACCGTTGGGGCGACGGCACCATACAACACGCTTTCTTTTTTGCAAGCCCATCGTGGACAAAGCGCTGGACACACCATTCGACAAATCTATTCTTCCAGTCATCCCTTCTTTGTGAAGTGCATGACGCCATACTGCGTGACGCAAAACACGAGAGACAGACTTGGTGGGGCCTCTCTGCTGCCACCTGCAAAAACGCCGCTCCGCTGTGAACATCAATCACGAACAGCAGTAGAGAGACACACGAGAGGGTGGACAGCACCACGACTTCCACCCAATGATATCCTCAACAATGCCGGGTTGCATTGAGCTTGCACCGCGGAGGCAAGAAGTGTTGGTACCAGCAGTTAGCAACACAGCAGTAGTGGTTGCACCTCTGCAAGCGAGATGATGGACTTTGGTACGTATACGAAGCAGTGGAGATTGCAAGATGAGCAAAATGATCATTCCGGTTCAACTCACCCCCATTCCTCCGCTCCCAAGCGCTCCTATGATATCCATATTGGCGCTGAGGTGCGTTCGTGCCTACACCTGGTCTACAGCTGGTGTGGTTGAGAGCAAGAGAGCGGAGACACCGGGGAAGCGGTGTAGGAAATGCGGCGGAATAGCCCACGTCGGTCTCCGGAGATCCGATAAAATCAGTCCGTTGGTCGGTTGGTTGCTCGTTGTCGCACATCGAAGTCTTTGGAGCACCGTGTGATCACGTGGGACAAAAGAAACGAGCAAGCACGACTCGAATCTTCGTGCCCCATTCGGCAATGTCTCACTCTGTCAGCTGGGTGGGTCGTACATACGCACTATCAAATTACGAAATTGACAAATGGCCTTTGGAGGTAGCCACATTGGTGGGCTAGTCCCACGACCGTTGTTAGAGCGTCGAAGACGCATTCAACAACATTCGCCCGGCCTGTGTACAGCAGTCTTGGTCTTGGTGACCATCGTTGTTGACGCCTTGACATCGGAGTACCAAGGACTTGCACAGACAGAGTTCCGCCGCCCAGGATCTTCCCTTGCACTGCGATACTTGTAGCTCTTTACTTTTGAAGACACGATGCGCAACATCGGCGACCCGTCGAAGGTGTGTTCACAAGGACAAACAGACCAGAGAAACGTCGGCTTCCGTTGCGAGGGCAACAAAAAGACTTCACGTAGATTACTTCGCACCATTTTTTTCGTTCTGAAACGAGGTAATACCCTGTCATGCATCTATCTCTTACCAGAAACAGATTAAAGACCAATCGAAAGCACTCTAGAGGCCACAACGCAGAGTAACACTTGTATCTTAAACCTAACTAGGACACAGACACCGATCACGTTTCACTAAACGACACGTACCTACGTGTCACCGCGAATGCACCCCACGAAGCACGTTACGGTCGCCCTCACGCTTGCTGCACATCACGTCACGCGTGACACATCTACATGCCAGGAACACGTTCATTTACATTTATCACAATACAACCGCAAAGCTGTCAACTGCGAAACTACCATAAAGTAGTATCGCTGCAGTCTACACTTTCCCCGGGACAACAACTTTCCCCGTCAACACCTTCTCAAAACAGGTAGCTGTAGCTGTACCCGCGGGAGTCCAGCTTGCGCCAAGGAGCACCAGCCCACGCCGTATCAAGAAGCCTCTGCCTAACCGTCGCGTACTCGCCGTAAGAGACTTCCAGCAAGCGTGCAGGCACCTTCGCCGCCGTCTTGTCCGAGCCCCCCCCCTCAGCCGCCTCGTCTCGCGGCGGCGACGCCTCGGACGCGGCCCCTCGCCGCTCCTCCTCGTCCGCTCGCTCCGCCTCCTCGAGGGATTCCTCGCGGAACGCTACCCGGTGAGCCCGGCCGGGCTTGCTGCTGCCATCCACCGACACCAAGCTGTTCATCTTCACCAGCAGGAGGCTCAGGGAGCCGCCGGGGGTCGCGGGGGAGCGGCCCTTCGCCGACACGATGAAGCGGGCGCAGCCGTCCCTCTCGTTGTAGTGAGCCATCTCCCGCTGAAGCCACTTGATCGCCGTCCGGTTCTCGAATACTCGAGGAGACTTTTTTTCCGGAGAGCCCGCCGTCGCCTCCGGGGGTCCTCGCGCCAATCCTCCTTCGGTGGCGCTGCCGGTACCGCTGCCGTTGCCTCTTGCCGCTTCTTGTTCCCCTCCTCCGCCTTTCGCGTCGGATGCACCGCGGTGTTCACCTTCACCGCCTCCTATGCCGCCGCCGCCGCCGTCGCCATCGTCATCCCCTAGCAGACAGTGCTTCAGGAGAAGGAGGCCGACGCTCTCTTGCGAGCTGTTGTCGTGCCCGATTGGCGAGGTAGCGGGTCGCCCGAGCGGCAGATCGCACCGCGCGCAATCGACACCCCGCCACTCCAGGTCATCCTCCTCCGGCATCATGCTGACCGCCCCTCCTCGCGCGTCGGCAACGGTCAGCGCGCCTGTTATCACGTCCCGCGGGTGCAGCAGCACCTCCGCCTGCGCCATCAGGCAGCGCCCGGGGCGGGCGAAGTTCACGTCCCTCGCGAGCATCGGCACCGCCTGGGGCCCGTCGTAGCAGATCATGTCCTCGATGCACTCGTCCCACCTGCCCGAGGGCATCGCCCTGACCGCCAGGACCCTCCCGGCCGGCGTTATGGGGTGCTTACAGAACCGGCACCTCAGGCACGAGACGCGCTGCAGGCCCTCGTCGTCTAGGCCGTCGCTCTCGGCCTCTTCTTCCACGCCGCCGCGGCCGCTGGCGGTACCACTGTAAGGCACTCCCACGACGCACATGCTGTCCGTCGCTTCGGCGGAGCACGACGCCCGGTCGCCCTCGAAGTCTTCCCTGCCGACGTCCGCGCGCTGGAGGAACTGCGCGTCCGGGAGGTCTCTGCCGGCCGCGTCGCGGCACACGAAGCGCACCTCGCAGAGCTCCGCCCCCACGCGGGAGACTTGGAACTTTGTGACTTCGAACCCCGGCGGCTTGGAGAGGTACAACTGGAGCTTCTTGATCCCGATGTGGTCTTCGAGGAGGAAGCGCTAGTTGGCGTGCAGGTGTGTCGTGGGAAGGGGGGGCGGAGGGAACCGCGGGAGGGGAGCCGTAAGCGCGGGGAGAGGAGAGGCGGAAACGCCTACATCAAGAATCACAAGTTCTTCTTGGGGCTCTGAATGACGGCCTTGCAGTACTCCGGTAAAACATGGGCAGCAAAATATCGCTGCAACACTGGAGGGCCTCTCAGCCTTGCGTTCATTTGGTTCACTCATCTATACCCCGGGTAACTCTTTGTCAATCGAAACATGCCCGCCGTGTGTGGAGCGGAAACCCCACCGCATCACCATCACCGACGAGCTCCCAAACGTCGGGTTCGACGTTACCATTGTACCCCCCATGGCATGTCGGCACGAAGCCACAAAAAAACGAGTCACTCCGAACCAGTCCCTGCCACCGCACAAAGACCTCTCCATCTCACCTCCGGGGCCTTGAAGTTGTGGTAGCTGGCAACAAGGTCAACTTTGGGCGATCGCACGTGCTTCCTCGGCACTGTTGGAGGAGTCGGCACCGGCTTTGACGGCCCCAAGCCGGCGGCCGCGGGGGACTTCTTCAGCCCCGGCGCATCGCCTACCGCCGGAGGCTCGCGGGTCTTGCTCGTGTCGTCTGCTAGACTTCGAGTAGCGGCGGCCTGTGGTTCCGACTCGTCCTTCTTGAAAGGGCGTTTCCAAAAATCTTGGGTCCGCTTGCAGAGGCTGTGCGAGATCGCCGAGGGCACGGGTTACAACGAAACGAGGGGTGCACGAGGTTGTGGCAACGAGAATCTTGTTTCGAAGCGGGGCTGAAAGATCGAAAAAACTATATGCCACAAATCAGGGATGGGGCCTGATCACGTGTTTGCTCCGAAACGATGTAGAGCCAATTTATTGCAGCACGAACGAACGCGACATGCATGTGGAAGCCTGGTCGTATCTACTCGTCAAAGGCCTCGGCCTGTTCGAACGCCCACCCCGATTCGGCGGCGTGGCGTAGAAGGCCTGCACTAACCCACTTGCTGTTTTAACAAAAAAAGGCAAATCCAACAGACTACGTACTGACTGTTAGTCTAATGGGTTAGCCATGATCTAATACTTCCACGGTTTTTCTGGCGGCAGGTGTAGTAAAGACTCACTGACCTCAGAACAAGCACTCTCTTGTCTTCTATGCACCAAGTGGATTCGCCGGTCACGTGCCCGTGAAACTCCCGGTCCAGCAGCACCTCGGGGTCCCCCCCGCCGGGTGGCGGTCGGTAGCAGGCTTTGACGCGCGTCGCGTCCATCGACACGGGCAGCGTAGACGGCGAGACATCCTTGTCCAGCTTAAGCTCGTAGGTGGCGGAGGCACTGTCTTCCGAAAAGCTCTCCCGCGAACCCCAGGGTAGGGCGAGTTTGGGTGGCCGCGTCGCTTCGGGTAGCGGCATTGCTTCAGGTGGTCGCGTCGCCGCTTTGCGTTCCAAGAGGGTGGAAAATCTCTCATCGCCTGACTCCAATTTCTTCGGAGCAGGCGGCCGCTTCTTGGAGAGGAGGTCTCTAATTTTCCCCAAGCATTGGTCTCTGGAGAGGAGGTCTTCCAGTTGCGCCAAGCTTTTGACTTCTTTGGCGAGGATGTCGTCTATTGTCCCCAAGCCTCCCACTTCTCTGGAGAGGAGCTGGTCTAGTTCCCCCAAGCCTTCACTAGAAGGTTTTTCTTGCCGACGCTCCTCGGGCGAAGGAACGACGCCCGTGTCGCTCGCGGACGAGGGCGCTCTCCGACCACCACCACGGCCGGTTGCACCCGCCGGCCCCTCCTCGACCGCACCGGCGGCGGCCCCGTTCCCTCCGTGGTTCTTCGCCTGCCGCGGGGAAGCTGCACCGCTGCCGCCCCTCTTGAGGACGGTGTACGCGTACACGCGATCATCCTTGCCGTCGGAGCCCCCCTTCCACCCCTGGACCGGGACGGCGAGCGGCTGGTCCGCGGTCGACCCGGGGCCGCACATAGCCAGGAGAGGAGCCAGCAGCTTCTCTCCCGGCGTGTTGCTGATGACGAAGAACTTGCCGCCGGGCTCCAGGACACGCATCGCCTCCTGGCAGATGCGGCGAGCGCGCTCCAACCCTCCGGAAAGCACGGCATCGATCGTCCCCTTGTCGACAACGCCTCCGAAGGTTTCGCCGTCGCACTGACTGAGTTCACAAGCGTCCATCACTTGGTACCTGAAGACGGGGTACATAAGCGCACCGAGATGTACGGACGAGCGGGGGGGGTGGGAGGGGGGGGGGGCAGCAAAACACAAGCGTTAGCGGACCTCTGTCGGTGCCCACTGAGCTCGAACAAGAGGTTTCAACACCCCACCTTTGAGATCATATCTTGAGTGGGTAGCCTATGAAGTCATCCTCGTGATGCTACGTAAGTGGTAACGACATTTCCGTTTTGAAAATCAGGAAACGGAAGAGTGAATCGTTACGCCAGCTTTCTCGGGCCACCGGTTTGCTACTCCATGCCGAGAGCAGAACGCAACAGCGACGTTTCGTTCCACTTTTCTTGACGGCAACGCTGCCAGCTTCGCACCAGCGCGAAAACAACAACTGGACAGCAGGAGCGCGCCGCACTCAACACAAAACCCCCCAGCAAAATAGGTTGCACCGCACGCTTTCAGCAGCGTCAAAAATAAGAGAAAATTACTCCGGGAATAATATGTATTTTAGTTCCTTGGCCGTAAACTACCGAGTAAACCCTTGCAAAAAAACAAGGTCAAGGACGTCAGCACCCCACCTGCACTTGGTGTTGGCGTTGTTGAATGGTTTCGCTCTGGCCGTCATCTGCTCGACTGCGTTCTTCGACGTGTCGATGCTCAGAACGTCGCGAAAGCCGTCGTCGCACATCTTTTCGGACAGCACGGAGGTGCCGCAGCCGATGACGAGCGTCTTCTTGCCGCGGACAGATTGCGGAAACGCCTGCCGGATGCAACACAGCAACAAAAAAAAAACACACACACACGCAGAAACAACCAAGACAGGCGGCAGCGGCGGCGGTATGAAGGAAGTCGGATGGCGTGGTGGAAAAAACAAAAAAAAATATCTACATAGAGGAGAACACCGCGAGCAAGATAGCTCATGAATCACTGTCGTAAATTATCACCGCTGCTGCTGCTGCTGCTGCTGCTATAATCTGCGCACGCGACGGGTCTCCAGCCCCGGACGGGGGCCCATCAAATCGCCGCGCCACCACATGCCGTGGTTCGTTGCGAATACCAAAGAACGAACAACAATAGGTAGGTCACCTTCTGCAGAGCTTCATCCGGATAGCCGGTGTACCACTCGAACGTCTCGCCGCTCGCTCTGCTCTTGGCGTGTCGCTCTTCCCAGTAATCCGCATCGCCGTACCTCTTGGGGTTAAGGCTCTGGGCTGCGGTCGCCACGGCCGCTTTGGCGGCGGCGCGGGCTTCCGTCGCTTGGGCCTGCAGCTGGCGAGCGGCGTCCTTTTCCGCTTGTGCTGCCTTCACCCCGCCGAGGACGCTCTGAATGCTTGCCTTGCTTTCGGCTCTTTCTTCTGTGCTTTTGCTGACCCTGGCGCTCTTTTAGAGGCAACGACCGAACAAAACAGGGAGGTGGACGCTGCGGAACCAAGAAAGAAGAAAGCCGGCGGCGCGCTCTCGATCGTACTACTGCTGTACAGCTAGCAGCAACATGGATGAGAAACAACACCCCCGAAACGTCAGGAAAATCGTCTTGCGTTCGGGGCATCAGCCAATAGCCAACGAGACCCAGCAGCTCATAAGAGCTAGTCACAGTCTCCCCACCACCACATCAAGGCCCATGAGACGGACCAGCAACACGCCATACGAACGACAAACGCCTGCACGCGTGCACGAAAAAATAAGGCTCGAAGAGACAAGATTGTATGTACCCCTTGCCAAAGCTCACCATGTACTTCAAATGTTTGGCGCAGAGCATCATTTCTTGGGTGGACATGCTGCCCCGGATAGACGGTTTGCGCAACCAGAGCACGAGCTTGAAGCAGACTTGCTTGTGCTTCTTGGTGTCCATCTTGCAGCAGGCTGACGAAACACGTGGCAATTCATCGCACGCCAGGGCAACGACGCGGTATCGACTTGTTAGGCTCTACTGCTGTTGTACTCGATGAAACCATCGCATTTGCCAATTTCTTCAAGGGCAGCGAGACACTTTCGATCGCGTGTTGTGAGAGGCAGTCAAGTGGCCCAGACAAAGACCATTATATTGTCAGAAAGTTGTTGAATGATTTCGTACCATTTGTCTCGGGAGCCCGTCCCTGCCTCTACCAGTGCAACGACGGGTATATTGATACTATCATTGGCGACCCACCGCCGTGGCCGAAAGCCGACAGTCGTTCATGCAGCAGAGACGACGTGGAACTGCTGCTGCTGCTGCTGCTGCTGCTGCTGCTGCTGCTGCTGTCGTCCTGTATGCCTGCTGTGCCGGGGTACCTCATCTATTATCAATGCTGACTAATTGTAGATCACATGCTCGTCGAGTTGAACGCCTTAGCGTTGACGGTGGTTGGCAGCCGTCTACCTGACACAGGTGTTACACGATGGCGAGACATCTACGACTACGTGATTTCGAGCGTAAACATTGCAGGAACTGCTGCCACAGGGTGTGTTACTGAGTTCATCCCGTCTACCGTATACCGCTGTACAAAACATCCAGTGTGCGGTCTTTTGCGACGAATCCAGCACTCATCGCAGCTATACATACAGCTGTAGATCCGATCCTCCCTTCGGCGCTGATGTAAGGATCGTAGTAGTAAACATTGCTTGCAAGCCGCACACACACTCAATCATCCTAACTCGATCGGGTAGTTGCCGTTGTATACGCGTGGTACTCCTACGCCAGTTGATCCCAAAACAGCGGTTGCAGTAGGGAGGTGGGAGGTGGGAGCCACCTGCGCGTATGAAACACAATACCGCCGCAGCCGTCGATAGACTAGATGTGTGGTGCGGCGCGGGAGAAAATGTAGGTAGTCAATCTGCTCGGAGAGTACGCTCGGAGAGCCAGCAGGCTGGGCAAGAAGCACGCAAACACGCTGGGTAACTGGACCTGCCTTTCATGCTCAACAGCTGGTGGTGGTGGTGGATATTTCGGTTCCAACCCTGTTGGGGCAGATTTCAAACTTACAGCAGTCATACAGCAGCAGTGTTGTACAACTTACAGAATGCAATACCTTCCTATGTTACCTTTTGGGACGCCCCCCCCCGCAAAGGACACGACAACAACCGCGCATGGCTTTCACGTCCCCGCCCTCACACAAGTTACCCGAAATTGGTGGGATTGGTACATGCACCTCGAGGATTTAGAGTACTTCATCTTGTGCTGCTGCTCCTGCTGGCTCACCTTTCGAGCAGTAGAAAAACATGTTGCAAACCTTGCACGAGTACGCGACCGTCGCCCGTTCACAGACCACACAGGCGTTCAAAACATCTGGAGGGTCGCCAGCGGTCTTCATGTTGGACAATGCGCCAAGGCGTAGGAAAGGCCCACCCGTCCCGACCCACTACTCTACGCTAGCCAAGGCACCACAGCAACTACAGCAGCAGCAGTGCCAGTGCCACTCCTCACACTCGCTCTTTTAGGGGCTCCGCGACGGGCATTTACGATTATCGTGGGGTAGGCGTACGTCCCGCTGCCGCTCAGCCTGCAGTACCAGCAGACCCGAGAGAGCAAGCTGCTCCTCCTCCGGCGTGCTCTACACGGAGATGGCTCCCACTGCAGCAGGGTGCAGACTAGGTCGAGCGTCGAACTCCAGACGTGTGTCGCTGCTGGTCGGAGGGCTGCTATCGTGCTGCTTGCTGGACCGCTCCAGGGGATTCGTGTTGAACGGAGCAGCACGTTGCAGTAGCAGCAGCAGCAGCAGCAGCAGTAGCAGCAGCATGATGATGCTCTCAGCGACGCGTGGAGGCTTCGCCCAGCGCGCCGCCATCGGTAGTGGCAGTGCCTTGATGGCGCGGTTCGGTCCATACCTAAGGTCTAGAACAGCAGCACCTAGCACTGCAGCATTGTCGAAAGGCCGTAGCATGGGCATGGCTAGCGCTGCTCCTGAGGCAGCGGCAGCCGTAGGCTCCAAGCTGTACAACCACAAGGCGATAGAGGCGCGCTGGCAGCAGCACTGGGAGGAGAAGGGCACGTTCAAGACGCCCGAGAGGACGGAGGGCAGGCCGAAGAAATTCGTGCTGGACATGTTCCCGTATCCGTCTGGCTCCGGCCTGCATGTTGGCCACCCCGAGGGATACACCGCGTCTGACGTCATGGCCAGGTACGGTAACAGCAAACGGCGATCTATGCTACAATGTATGCATATATGTGGGTGTACAAGCGGGAGGGTTCCTTGAGGTCTATGCTTGGCCGCGGCACGAGCCGGTTCATGCAATGGTTAGCGTGCGGCAGGCAAGGTTCGAGAACATATACGGTGGCGGTGCCAGGCAACACACGGGTGTTGGCAGCAAGTTTGCTAAGGTTCCTGCATGTTCAACTCGAGTCAGAGAGAGGGAGAGCGGCGTCTGCGGCATTGACGCACGCTCACCTCGCCGACAACAGCAAGGGGGTGAAGTGAGGCACATACTTCGTCTCGTATCTTCGATCACCCCCCCCCGATGCTTGTCTTCTCTTTGAGCTCTTTGCCCCAAGCCTCTGTGTGCTTGTGTCAAGGACGGATGTTCGTAAGCCAGGATTGTGCTCGCGTAACGAGCGGCCCCTCCCAACAACGTCTTGTGCGCGAGGCAATCTGCACAGCATCTACATATGATACCTGCACTCTGTGCTCTACGTGCAACCGCGTTATTTGGTGAAGAATCAGCAACATCCTGTTGTTGGCGGTGCTTTGTTGCGTCGTCAGGTACTGGCGAATGAAAGGGTTCGACGTCCTCCACCCCATGGGCTGGGACTCGTTCGGACTGCCGGCGGAGCAGCACGCCATCTTGACCGGGACGCACCCCAAGGTGGCCGTCCGTTACCTTCGTCTGGTGGTGGTAGCCCCGCGTTGAACTCTGAAGACTTGAGCCTGGCGTTTTTTATTGGTTGTTTTACGGCGTTGGCGTTGTCATTTTGGTCTCGAGGCTTTTGCGTCCTAAATAGTATTGCCAGTCGCGTACCCCTCCCCCCCGCTAGCTGGCGACAACGGCGGCAGCTTGTGTGATGTGCAGGCACGAAACGCGGATATGCCACTGGATACGTAGTGCTCCCAGAGAGGTTATCTGTTAGTGAACACGAATGTGCGAGGAACCACCCGTTCCTTCTTTGATGACGTGTGCTGCATACCGTATGCCGTGCGTCAAAAAGGTGACGACCTACACCAACATCGACACCTTCCGGAGGCAGCTCAAGATGCTTGGGTTCAGCTACGACTGGGACAGGGAACTGGCGACCACGGGTAAGCGCCCTTGGACACGATTGTGCAGGATTTTGCTTTTCCGTGCAGTCTGGGTTTCGAACCCGCGACTAACTCTTTATTCAAGACGAAACCAAACCGTTAGACTCGACTGAACGGCGCTATCTACTCGAATGGTTTGATTTCGGCTTCTAAAGACCCTGGGGTCGGGTTGGATGCAGCTATTGTATACCCCCCTTGTTCTCAATCGGGTGCTTTCGCGTCCGAACAATCGGTACGACGGCGCCTTTTGCCGTCGTGGTGCTCTTGTGTGTTTAATCGGGCAGCCTACATAGCCCGCGTTTCCCGAGAGCTTCTTGCAGATGCACACAAAAGTTAAACTTGGTATCGTTCACACCAAGGAACGTGCTTTGCTAGAATATGGAGAAGCCCTTCTGACGCTCCTTGTCAATGAAGACGCGCGCGTGTCCTAGATGGATGCCTGTCCCACGGCGCATCCCACCGAACTTTTTCTTCGGATCGTTCACATCGCTCCAGAGCCGTATTTGCCACCGTCTGTCTCGAGAGACTGGACGTTTCGCATGCTTGGAGGAGAAGTTTTGTGGCGCGTTGACCGGCTTGCTTTGTGGTATTTTTTTTTCGAAGATTATAAGTACCCCGGGATCCATCTCTGTGCGGATACTCCGTTATACTCCTTTGAAGGTTGTGTGTTGACTTGTCAAGCACTAAATATGGCTTAACGTCGCCGCTCCGCTCCCAGACAAGGACTACGTTAAGTGGACGCAGTGGATATTTCTGGAGCTGTTTAAGGCGGGACTGGCAGAGCAGAGCGAAGCCCGCGTTAACTGGTGCCCGGCGCTTGGGACCGTGCTCGCCAATGAGGAGGTGTGCCTGAGGTTGACGGTGGTTTCACATCGCCCTGTTTTTGTGCACGCTAGGTTTGTATCTACGATTTGTCTTTGGTGCTGAAGTGCCGCTCAAGCGTTTGAGGGCGACTCTGGTGTCGAAAGTAGGTGTAAACGGATGTCCATCACGGTTCAGACGCCTCTTGCAGCCAATGCTCTTGAGTACGGCAAGCAACAGGTTTGCACTCACGTCCTGTCGTCGCCCCTGGTGTTCCCCTTGGTAGCGTCTTGTCGCACACGCCGTCCGTGCTATTGCAACCTCTGGTTGCCCACCCGAAGGCAGCCGGAATTTTGAGGTCGTCCGACATGATTCCCGTCATTTAGATCCTACGCCTGTCCTTTGCCTGTGCTCATTTTCTACATTATAAATATTTGACGCACAATGTTTTGTGATTGTCAACGGCAAATTCACCCCCGTCCTTCCAGCAATCGCTTGTAAATTTGCCGTTGACAATCATAAAACATTGCGCATCAAATATTTGTATTGTAGAAATATAGCCTGGGCAGGCAAGAACCCGTCATGTCGCTCCGTCCGGGATGCGAGGTCAATGGCCTAACGACTACGGCATGCGTTTGCATGAGTACCCCCCCCTCCCCCCCCCTCCTCCTGCCGTCTCTTTTTCCGTTTCGAACGTACTCGGCTCACATTATTTTCACTAGATCATCGATGGGAAGTCGGAGCGGGGCGACCACCCCGTCGTCCGCACGCCTCTCCGCCAATGGGCACTCAAGATAACCAAATACGCCGACCAGCTGGAGGCCGGTTTGGAGGGGCTCAACTGGCCCGACGGGACCCTGACTGCGCAGAAGCAGTGGATCGGACGGAGCGAGGGTGCAAGGTGCGTGTACTTTTGTTTTTTTCGCCTGGTTTCGGTCTGGTTGCTGGCTGGCACTGTATGTATGTGATTGTTTGTTGTGGCTAGCATGTTCAGTGGGTATTACAGCCCGATTTGTCGTGCCCATTGTCACAGCAATGGGCGTGTGTATTTATTTGTTTTCGGAGGGGGGTTCAGTTGAAATACTATGGGTACAACAACGTAAAGACGTATGCGAAATGCGATATATAATACCCTTCGAACTGGTGTTGAAACCTCCTCGACAATGAAGTCGCAGTATTTTTGTTCGGTGTATTTCCGAATGTGTTCAGGGGTGCTTTTGTCCTCCGCGTGCCATTTCTCTCGCTCTCTCTCCTCCTCTCGTCGACTGCCAATGAAAACTCTCGGTACCAAGACGTGGTCACACGCGCTCCTAACAGGCGCGGTGCTCGGGGAACTACGAATTGTTGCTGTAGGCAATTCGATAAACCCAAGCGAGTCGGACAAGCAAGTGTGAAGACGAGCAGGGTCTCGACAAGAACAGGCGCAGCTCAGCGCATCTAGCAATTTTCTTGTAGAAGCGCTGTCATTCTACCTTGGTGCTTGATGCTCGGTGCCCTTCGTGGCCTCTGCCGGTCTTAACTCTGCTACTGCTGCACCTCATGCGCTTTGCAACCAAAACCTGCACCCGTAACGTCCCAGAGAGCTGCCATGGAGGCTGCCAGATTGTGTTTTGCGGCGTGAACGGGGATCAGACTACCCCCTCTTCCCTCTACCTTGTAGTGTGCTGCGTGCGCCCCCCCCCGACACTCCAAGTACTGTAGGTTGCAGAAGATACCACACCCACTTGGCCGACTTTCAAAGCTCGATTCCTTGGCAGCAAGGCTAGTGTGACGGCGCCGAGAATGGCGGTAGGCGTTGGAACCATCTCGTCGAGAGCTTTCCGAAAACGTGCCATTTGAACTGGGCATGTTCTTCGTGGTGGAGTAATCGAGCTTTGAAAATCGGTCCAGGGGGTGTGGTATCTTGTGTCATATCTCCTACGGTACACGCCCTGCCGGGGGCACCCTACGACTAGAAGCGTGTTCGCGTTAGTTATTGGGCTAAAGATTGACGTGCTTTTTCATTGGTCAGAGGGGCGAAGTCATAGCTAAGTCACGCACTTTGGTTTCCATCCCGACCCCCCCTTTGCGCCCGCTTTCCGCCCCACCAAATAATGGCAACCCTACGCTAAAAAAATGTGGGACTCAGCATCACCTTCGACCTCGAGGGCACCGGGGAATCCATGGAAGTGTTCACCACTCGCCCGGACACGCTGATGGGGGTGACCTACCTCGTGCTGGCGCCGGAGCACCCCTTGACCCTGGAGGTGGCCACGCAAGAGCGACGTGCGGTAAGAGCGAGGGAAACACTGTGGTCGGGATGTTGGGGTTGAATCGGGGCGGGGTGGTCGTGGATAAGTGGTGGAATTGTTCGGTTGGCATGGTGGTTGTCGTGGAGGAATTGTGTGCGTCGTGAGTTGGTTCTGGGTGGGTCGTTTCGAAAACCGGTGCCAATGGTTGTGAAAATTTCGGAAGATAAAACGACTGACAGGTGAGGTGTAAGGTCACACCAAGTCGTCAAGTCATGTGTGACCCCTGGGACTCGATACATTAAGGTTGACGCTTCAATGTATTTTTCGTTTCTTTTCCGACACGATAGATTTCCAATCTTCTCGTGTTGCTCCTGGCGTGTTGACCTGCTGTGGTCGATACATCACCCGCTGTCGTATCCAGAATTTTTATTGTTTGGACCTTTCTTTCTTTCGCTCGGCAGGCCGTGGAGGAATACGTGACGGCCAGCGCCAGCAGGAGCGACTTGGACCGCACCTCCATGGGCAAGGGCAAGAAGAAGACAGGCACGGACACGGGCGCCCTGGCGGTCCACCCCATCACGGGAGAGAAGGTAACGACAACGGTAGCTTGCCTGTCTCTGCCCTCGGCGGGCCAAGTGACGAGCCTATCACACATGTGCATGAACAATCAGCGAAAAGGCGTGTGTGTGATTGGAAAGCTTGTTGACTGGCCATCGTGTAGCCAGACAATGCCCGCGTGCTTGCACCTTCACCCTGAGGACGAGGAGGGAGCATGCTGATGGGCGGCCGACGTCTTGTCATGGCCGCGTTATACGTCGATCGCGACCGGTCCCGTGTGTGGGCACGCTTAGTGCTAGATGGTGATGCCAATGCATGCACAAACATGCAGCTGTTTTTGTTCTTCTAATGAACCCCCCCCCCCTGCATTTCTCGCATGCGTGTGTCCCCCCGCTTTTCCGGGAAGGTGCCCGTGTGGACGGCCGACTACGTCCTGGGGAGCTACGGGACGGGGGCGGTGATGGCGGTGCCGGCGCATGATGAGCGGGACCTGGCGTTTGCCCGTACGTTCGAGCTGCCGGTACGGCGGGTAGTCAAGCCTTCCGGGGGGAAGGGCAAAGGAAAGGGCAAGAAGGGGGCGGCGAAGGAGGAGGAGGAGGAGGGGGCGGGGGAAGGGGAGGTGGTGGAAGCCTTTACCGGGAGGGGTGTTGCTATCAACAGCGGCGAGGTGAGCGGGAGGGGCTTGTGGCATCAATTACGGTTCTCTTGTCCTGGTACACTGTCTGGTCGCCTTCTTCCGTGTTCTTCGTTATATTGCCCAGACAATGTGGATGTGAGCGGAACTTCGTGTACACGTGTACACACCCACAAGAGTGTAGCAAGAGGCTTAGCACTCCCAGACGCAAAGAGTGGGTTGTGACAAGTGCGATTGATTGCCTGTGCGCAGGGGTTCGATGGTCTCTCCACAGAGGAGTGCGCCGAGGCTGTGGTGAGTCAGCTGGAGTCGCAGCAGCACGGTCGAAAGGAGATCAACTACCGCCTCAGGGACTGGATCTTCAGCCGACAGCGATACTGGGGCGAGGTGCGGCGCATTTTATTTCATTTTGTGTTGACTCCTTCGTTTGTTTTTGTCGTGTCGATGGGGAGGTCGTCGCACAGGGGAAAGTAGAATAATAGCTTCTGTTTTGAAGAGTTGAGATGATCGAAACAATGAGTTTGTCGTGTTATTCAGGGGGACAACTAGCAGTACAACGAGAGACAGAGAGAGAGAGTTTGAGGAAGTAGCTTGGTCCCTTTCAGTCGATCTTGATGGCGACAGCACCGCGGGTGTACTTTGCTCACACTTTTTGTCGTACACGGTTTGGTTGCTGCTGCGCGTCCTTGTTCCACTGCACACGCGTATATCCTCTTTCTTGATCCTTCCTCCCTAATGTCTCCTCCCGCTTTCAGCCTATCCCCATCTACTTCCCGGTGGAGATGGTAGACCCAGAGGGGGACCCAAGGAGAGGGGATGATCACAAGATCTGCTACGACCAGCCGATGCCCGTGGTGAGCTAATTTGTTAACATAGCGTTTGGTGGATGGGTGTGTATATTGAGACAGCCACGCGGCAAAACCTTGGGGCACAGCGCAGCTGCTGCGAGCAGCAGATGACAACGGCCTCCGAGAGAGCCCGTAACAGCAGTGGATGCATGAAAGTTTGTGTGTGTTCAGCGGCAGCGACTCCCTGCATGTCCACCTCGGTAGTGTACGTGTCGTGAAGACGAGGAATCCTTTGTCCTGGTCTGCCGTCAGCATGGTGCTCGTGCCGTGTAAACGCCATCGCACAACAATCTCTTAACCCGCTTGGTAGGGACGCTACATTGTTACATCTGGCCCCCCATCCCAACGCTGACAATCTTCAGCCCGGTTGCTGCCTCTAGCCCCGGTCCCAGCTCAACCTTATATCTAACCCTCTCTCGACTGGACGTTTCCATGCGTTCGTTTATCTAACCCCAGTCTACATGTTGCTGCTGCGGCGAACCGATCGGTCAAACTTCACTTCAAGCTTTGACCACCCTCTCTCGACAGGACGTTTCCAAGCCTTCGTTTATCTAACCCCAGCCTACATATCGCCGCTTCGGCCTACCGATCGCGTTATTGACAGGACGTTTCCGAGCTACCCCTTACGCTACCCGAAATGGAGAGCTTCGAGCCGGGAGATGACCCGCAGGGGTGCTTGACGAGGGCCCCGGACTGGCGGTTTTTCCAGCGAGACGGCAAGTGGTTCGCCCGTGAGACCAACACCATGCCTCAGTGGGCGGGGTCGTGCTGGTACTACCTCCGATTTACGGACACCAAGTGAGTCGCGCTAGGGGGGGGGGCGGGGGGGGCGTATTTTTGTGTACCTCCTTGCGCGTCTCATTTTTGCCATACGTGTACCCCCTACCTTGTGTATGACTCTCTCCTCGTCTTTTTTTCTCTCTCACTCACCCTCTCTCTTTCTCTCTACCCCTTTCTCTCTCTACCTATCTCTCTCTCTCTCTGCCTCTCTCTGCCTCTTTCTGCCTCTCCCTCTCTGATTGTGTGTGCCTTTCCTCTGCCGCCGCTAAAGGAACGCCGATGCCGGATGGAGCAAGAAGGCGGACAAGGACTGGATGCCCGTAGACCTGTACGTCGGGGGCCAGGAGCACGCTGTCCTACACCTCCTTTATGCCAGATTCTGGCACAAGGTATGGTATGCATACATACGTGGTTCTTTCTTTCGCCGAGAAAGGAAGAAGAACAAACGACACACAAGTGCAGCACCTCCAGGCATTCATGCGTTTTTTTTTCCGACCATACCTGCTGTAGGCCATGTTCTAAGTGAGGTTTTTTAAGACTTGAAAGTTTGTCTCGCCTGCATGAAACATTTTTTTGGACGTTTTGAATCCGTACCCTCTCGAAAGACTGTCCTCCCCTACATAGTGTGCTCCTTATTATTCTAATTTTTCCTTCATCACTTCAAATCAATGATTTACAGCAGTGGTGCCGCTTACTCCAACCCGTGGTCACGCAGAAGGGTTTCCCCTACCCACCCTTCCTCCTGTGACGAGACTGTTTTTTTGCATGACTTTTGTGTCTTTTTTTTATTTTCTCCGCCCATCCTTGCGTGATGTCTCCCGCACTTGCGCTGTATGCTTGTCGCCCGTTTCCCCACACCGATGAATGTGTTGATGTTATTTCGCCTTCGTTTTTCGTTTGTTTGCAACAAAAGGTTTTGCATGACCTTGGTCACGTCAAGGACCCTGAGCCGTTCCAGCGCTTGGTGCACCAGGTACGTGAAATTATCGGGTTTTGTTTTCTACTTATAAGTATATTCATAGCGCTGTTTTCGTCTTGCATGTATTAGTTGGCTTGTGACCACGGAAGGTGTCCGCGTCAGTTGTACTGTTATAGTATAGTACGGACATTAGAAGGTACTGAGCGGAGACCGGAACGGTTTAATGTGAAGACAACAAGAACAATGTCCTGTTTGGAATCGTAATTGTTCATTCGGAATATAGTGTTCGTGCCTACTTCGAGTCCACGCACTTGCTCCCGGGGTCCACCAGTCGATTGTTTTGACGAGGGAGTTGAAGAGAACCCGTAGCGTCACTTGTCTGCCTCAAAGGTGGAGTCCCTCCCAAACACGAAATGCTGGAAAACCTTGCAAGTACAATCCTTTCAAGTTGTTGGGGGGGGCATCGTTTTCGAATGTTTTCCAGCACAAACTGGTTGTTTTGTTGACAAGCCGTTGTTCGTTTTCCATGCTGTCTTTTTTCACTCAGTTTGTTCTACTCCTTTCCCCCCCATGGGCAACTCGAAGCAGACCGAGGCGGTATAACCATGGACAGGAGGAGTGTTCGATGACTGGACTTTTGGAGCTCTCGAGTGTTTGTAACAATTTCTATTTGTTGTACATCACCTCAGCATCATCACGCACGCTCACAAGCGCGATTGATCAAGTCCCGGCTCAACTTGTAGTTGGGTGTGAAATGCTCGTGCGGTGGTACGTAGGGGTTCACACGCAAACCCTCGCACTCATTCTACGTAGTGCTTCGTCCTAGCTCAAATCGTGTATTGTATTGCACATGTGAAGGGTATGATTCTCGGCACCGATGGGGAGAAGATGAGCAAGTCGAGGGGAAACGTTATTAACCCGGACGACATCGTCGACTCGGACGGGGCGGACGCCTTGAGGCTGTACGAGATGTTCATGGGGCCCCTCGAGGCCACCAAGCCGTGGCAAACCGAGCAGGTACGTACGGGGTTCCGCAGATGTGGCGATCGACCCTGGTGGGGGGCAAGGGTCACGGGGCCGACGGGAACGATGTTGTGGTCTATAAGAGAGTAAGAAACGAGACAGCTCGCCATCACCGTGGATAAGCATGATGTTTCCAAGGGGGAGTGTGACAAGCGCATGAAAAAGATCCCAGTCCCGCCGCAAGGAAAATGAAAAAAATGAAAATAAAAGTAGCTGGCGAGCAGGATGGATGGCAATGTGAGTGTGCCTACGTCGCAACACTGTGTTGGGTGTGCCGAGTTTTTAAGTGTAAGCGTTCAGCTTTTAAGAGCGACTGGAGTCGGGATTCGATTGGGTATCTTCGCGTGTGTGTAGTGCAACGCGGTTAAGAACGATCGTGCCGAAGTGGGAGATATTGGGTGTGGCTTCATCAATTGTAGTGCCCCCAAGAGTGTCATATGGTCAATACCCACGCCTTAGCCCTCCTCCCTCCGTCCCTCTCGTCTTCTCCTTCTCCGCCTTGCCTGCGGCTTCGCGATGGCTGCAGGTTGCAGGAGTTACGCGCTTCCGAGACCGCGTGTACCAGTTGGCAAGGAGAGGGGCGGAGGACGTTGAGTTAGCACCGGAGACCCTAACCATCTTGCACAAGACAATGAAGAAGGTACATAGAATGTTTGCCTTCACCAAGTAGGTCGTTTGGTGGGCGTCCTACCTCCATGCCAGCGCGATCGCGCATCGCTCGGTGTGGCTCTGCTCGTCTGGAACCTTGTCTATAATTTGCAATGCTCTGTCTTTTGCATTGAAACTGTGATTTGGCCCCGTTACCTGTTTTTTTTTGCTGTTGTCCTCCAACAGCGGTGGACCGGCTAGCACCTGTGGCCTCGTAGGCAAAAATTGGTTGCCTTTGACGGGAACGGTTGTGGCACGCTCCCGCTACGTGCTGTACCCTATACCTTGCAGGTATCGGAAGACATCGACGAGCTAGCGTTCAACACGGCCATCTCGGCCCTGATGGTGCTCACGAACCACCTCATGACGTTCGAGAAGCCTCCGAGAGAGGCGCTAGAGGTAATTAACTGAAGTGCTCCTGTAACTAACTGCAGTAGAATCAACCCCTGTACTAATAACTGTATCTAAAGGCTGTTTTGTCCGACAACAGTTACCACCGGCTAAACCCAAATCTGTTGTTGTGTTATTACAATTGCTTATGATTTCCCTTGTCATCCCACAATCCCAACTGAGTTCACCATATTTCTCTTCAGGTTGTTGGATTTCTACACCGTGTTCTACATACGTAGCAGATGCTATGTGTTAGCGTGTGCCATATGCGTATGATGTTGAGTCGTATGCAGACTCCATACAAGCCCATTCGATTATTCTCCTAGGGTCATGTTGTGTACCCGCTTTTGATCTGAGATATACCGTATAACAAGTGTGGGGAATAAAAATCATGTGTTGTTGCCAATAGAAACATTATGGTAGACGTAGTAGGAAGAACAAGCGGACACGAACAAGGGCGCGACCATTTTCCAACTTATGTATCTTTTTTGCGGACTGGATTGGTAGGGAGGGACGGCAAAGGGAGGAAGCCTTCTGTGTGATCCCGGCTCTGCTAGCATGCCCGATGGAGGCAGAGACAAAAAGCCTCTGCAGTCAGGACGGCGGCACGACCGGAAAAAAGAATAACGGCCATGACTACGGCACCCATCCGTCGTCGTGTGTTTGGTGTAAAGGAGACACACACCTGTCAGTATCATCTTCTAATAGAGAATTCCGTGCCAGACCATTCCAACGCTTGTTCATTGTTCGGCGTTTTCCGTTCAGACGGCGGTACAAACCAAGCACTCATCAATTTGTTGCTTTGTTCCCCAAAATGTATGTCGCACAAAGTTGTTCATCAACGAGTCGACGTTTTTTGTCTTTCCCCTCGCAAGTTGCAAGCTACACGCTGACCGTGTTCCCCCCCCCCCCCCCC